GGGCCTGCCAAAGCAGCAAGCCTGGTCTTGCTGCCGTGCTGTTCCCACAGCGCTCAGGTATGTTACTCAGCCAGCACGGCAGCTTGCTCTTTAAATAGCTCCAGATAAACCCTGCTGCTGAGGCACGGCAGCGGGAGCAGCCCTGGTGCACACAAGCCAGGAGCAATGTGCTGTCCCGGACCCCAACGGCAGTTCAAGATGCGCGTTGCATGGCCAAAGGTCTCACAGCCCCAAAACCAGCGCTCCAAGGTCCCCAGGCACCTTGCTACGAGGCTGGGAGCACTCACACGGGAGGGGAGAGCCCATCCTGCCGTATTCCCAGGCACACAATTCCCTCAGGAAGGGGTGCTGGGCCCTGGCACCCCCTGTCCCCGGCACGCCGAGCTCACCTGGCCAATTTACGCTTGTCGTGGGGGTGCAGCTTGGCCGCCATCTCGGGGTCCACCTGGCTCAGGCGGCGATGGAGCTCGATGCCATCCAGTTGCTCCAGCTCCACCTTCCTGTCGGTGACCAGCCCAGGGGCCAGGCTGGCTTTCTCCTGGGGGGGCACAAGGCAACCCTGAGTCAAGCCACTCGTCCGTGTGCAAGGTCAACACAAAACAAGACGATCCCCGAGACCCATGGGGTGAATAAGGGGCTTCTGCCCCTCCTTGCCCCACTCTAGCAGGGGGAGCACCATGCCCAGGTGCATTAAACCTGCCCTGAACATGGGGTTCACCCTTTCCCGGAGGGATACACAACCCTCCAACGGTACCTTGGTGTCGATAAGGACCTTCCAGAGCAGGGACTCGATGTAGTAGTTGGTTCCTCCCACAACAATCGGGATTTTGTTTCGGGCAAAGATATCTTCGATGTGTCACCGTCAGGGAGCGTAAGCAGAAATGCACGGCAGGGCGAGAGGGCTGGGGGGAGATCCAGCCTGGGGCCCCAATCTCCCTTTCCCAGCTCCAGGGAGACCACAAAAATTCAGTGACACCCAGGGACTGCCAGAGAGGGCAATGCCCAGCTCAGCACCGTTGCGGTGCAGCAGAGCTCTTCCCCAACCATCCCCAAGGAGGAGTTGCCCTGGGCATTAGCTGGGAAAAAGAAACTCCAGCCCCCCTTTGCCAGCCGCATCCCCTGAAAACAGGAGGTAGATGCAACGTGGAGAGTCTGAGGCTGCCGCAAACACCGATCTCTGTTGCAGGTCTGGCTGTGGAGGGGGGAAATCCATATCTGCTCGGCCAGGCAGCCCGCAGTGTGAAAGGATATCAGAGGCACGGCTTTGTCCCTGAAATCCACCACCGTGTAGTTAGAGACGAGGGGATCCACAAAGCTGATCATGTGGTGCCTGCACAGCCGCTGCTCTTGGGGAGAAACCTTGTTCGTGATGATGTCCAAGCCCTTGTACACCTGGGGAAGAGAAGAGCCCGTCGTTCACCTCTGCACCCCATGAAACTCCCACCGACCGCCGCTCCTTCCCCCCGGCACAGCCGCTGCCTGCCCCGTCACCCCTCCAAGCCCCGCGCAGGCAGCACAGGCGGGGGTACGTGCCCCGTTCAGGCAAGGCAGCAGGAACCTCACCAACGCCTGCGCCTGCCAGGGCCAAGCTGCCTCGCTCTGGTGCTTGTTCCTGCCCGCGGGAGATGAACCGTGAGTCCGACCGCTCACGACGGCTTTCCTGGTCTGACACAACCCGGCAGCTGGGGATGGAAAGGCTGATGGAGCGATCAGAGAGTGGTGTCAGAGCCCGGTCAGTGTAACCAGCCAACGATCTCTGTGGATGCAACTTCATGGAACCTCCTGAACACACACCAATGGTCTCAGCTCATGCACTCCATAACAGCCTGGCACACCGCCTGCTTCCTCCTCTCATCCAGCTGGTCAGGTACAGAGAGGAGCAAAACACATCGGTGCAGGTCGGTGACCCAGGGGAAAAGAGGCACCATTGGGAGACACTGGTGAGCACAACCAGCAGCATTTCGCTGCTTCGAGGCGTGCCTTCCATCTCAAGTTTGGGATATACAACCTGGGAGAGCTCTGCCGAGAGATACCAGCCCTCAGCTAGAAAGCTAAAAGCAGAGCAGAAAGAAAAGCCACACAAACCAACCCCTGGGGAACATTCTTGGTAAAGAGCCAAGGCGACCTGCAATCTGAGCAGCACGCATCCCAGCCACAGCCCAAATCCACCCTCCAGGCTGCACAAAGCAGCAGCCACAGCCCAGCCCGCAGACCCGGCTGCTGCAAGTCCCGGAGCCGCCCCAGCTCAGCGTCCCGTCCCTGTGGCTCAATGGGATCCCAGGAGCAGAGCCCTGCCAGATGAGAGCATCTTCCACCCAGGAGAAGGGAGGAAGTTTCCTCACCCTGCTCCCCACGGCATGCCAACACAACCCTCCGCAGAGCAGGGTGCCCCAGCCCTGGCACCACCCCAGGCATGCCGGTCTGAGGCTGCTGTGAGGTTCCACAGAGCTGCAGACACACAGGGATCGGAGCAGGGACCCACACCCTGAGGCACATGGTGGCCGTGAAGCACATAAAGCCTTTCTGTCCAGCCCAGCTCTGCGCCGTGCCAAGAACCAAGCTCCCTCCGTGCCAGGCGGTGGCTGAGGCTCTGCTCCGTGCCGCAGTCGCAGGAAGGACGCATTCAGCTCTCAGCATCTCCCTGCTTAGAGCAGTCTCCAAGCTCGGGATAAACTGGCCTGCTGGGAGAAGAGACTGGAAACAGTGGTACTCATTTCCTCCATCACCCAGAAACCACCCCAAGCCAGAGGGCCAGACCTCCAGAAACAAATTTACCCTTAATCCTGAGAAGCTGCCAAGCCTCCAGCTGCAGCACAGCCTGCACCCACCGCCTCCCCTGGCCCCAGACAGAAGGACAAGGTGACACAAAGGTGACCCATGGGCAGAAGGCACAGAATGGCAGCAAGGGACGATCCGAGGTTAGCGGAGCAGGGAAGCCCAATCCCTGCCTGCAACAGTCAGGCGAGCTGCCGGGGCGGTGGAACCGGGGCTGCAGCCCGGCTAACGCTCCGACACTCCCCGTCTTGCTTCACTTGCCCTTGGAGGGCGAGGGCCAGCCCTTGCTCCTGGTCCCTCCACAGCGGAGAAAGGCTCCCCTGGGGGCAGGAAGCGGGGGAGTGGGAGGACAACCAAATGCTCTTCCTTTCTGCCCTGCAGAAACCCAGCTGGCTGCAGGGGATGGTAAACAGGCAGGAGAGGCCCAGGAGGCAGCTCTCTGCCAACATGCCCCGTGGCTGTTGCAGCCTATCGATCCCCTTCCATCGCCCCGCGCAGGCTGAGCAGCGCCGTTCAACGCAGGTCTCCCGTCGGGCACCGAAAGCCTTTGAATTCACCGAGCGTTGGCTCCGTGCCTTCTCTCCCCTTGGCAAGGGCCAGGCCAGCCCTGCAGCTCCTCCGACTCCCACTCGTCTGCCTGAAAAGAGGGCTGCCGGGGAGACTGGGAGGCAGCTGGGAGCTCCCAGTGCCCGGCGCAGGCACAGCCGGGATTTACAGTCCAAGCTCCAATCCCCCAAGGTTCTCCCACAGATTAAAACACCGAGAGCCTCCCCGAATATCTGTCAACAAGAGGAGGAGGAATGCGGTGTCAGTGTGTGGGCTGGGAGGAAACAAAGGCGCCTTTTACACACACCCCCCCCAAAGCCTGGAGAAGGTTTCCACCAGCTGGCTGTCAGCAGGGCCTCGCACCGAGACGTCCTCCCGACACTCATTTCTATTTTCAGCAAGCGGCTCAGATAAGGTCTTTGTTGCTTTCTAAGGCCCCAAAACAGATTAGCGGCAGCCTGGAGCAGCAGGCCTCCGAGACACCGAATACAAACCGGGGACTAAAGGTGCTTAGCCTTGACAGCGTCCTCCCACTTCTGCCGCTGACACCCCCGGGCACGTCAGCCCCACAGCTCCCCGCTTCCAACAGCTGGGGACACTACGGCAGGAGACGCAAACACCGGCGATCCTCAGGAAATGGTGCCTGTGAGGATCCGCAGCCCAGGAAGGGCGGGCTCTCCCAAACCCTCACTCTGCCACCAGTTCCATGCACAATCCCAAACTCTGTCCCTCT